TCCTGACCCGCCCACTTCTCCCCTCAGCAGTGTACCTCGTGGATCTGCCTGTTCTGCTCCCCACTGTCTCTGGTGAATCCTCTCACCCTCAGCATTTCTGGCCTGTACCCCAGTTCTGTATGAATAAATAAATAAATCTTAAAAAAAAAAAAATCCTTAATCCCATCAGTCAGACTGGAGTATTTGCTACCCCAGAAACCTGTCAAGCACCATCCATAACTTCTTCCTATCTGAGGGAGGAGAAATCCATCCTATGCCCCTGAAGGTTTTCTGAGAACCCCCAGCAGGCTTACTGTGGCCTTCTTGCTATCCCTGAAACACCTGGTGCTTTGGGGTTTCATACTGACTGTTCCTCCTGCTGGGACTGCTTATCACCTTGGAATTCTCTGCCTGGCTAATCTTTCCAATCACATTAGGTAAAGCTGAGGCACTTCCTTACTTTCTCTCCTCTTCAACAACAATCTAGTAGTCTATTTTTTTAAAAACTTATTTGTACAGTGGCATAAGAACAAATATAGCTCCAGTGTCCAGAATAGTACCTAATTAGAAAGTATACGATAATTATGAATAGAGAATCTCAGCAAATGTACCTATTTTACAAATTGACAGAGTAATGCAAATCTTGTTAAGCTCTCCAAAACATATCAGAGAAGCTCTTCCAATCTACTTATTTCCTACTCCCTTAAGTTTGAATTGTATCCAATAATTGAATTCTGTTCATCAGCAACAACCACATTCCAATGTTACTTTAAAAGTAGTTTTTTTTTTTTAAGATTTATTTATTTATGCATACAGAACTGGGGTACAAGCCAGAGTTTCAAGGACAGTGAGAGGTTTCACCAGAGACAGCGCAGGGAGCAGAACAAGCAGATCGACAAGGTACACTGCAGAAGGGAGCAGCGGGAGGGTGAGACAGGAGAGGTCTGCTGTACCACGTGGTCCTCTCAGGGAACAGGGATCAAACTTAGACTGAAGGGGCTGAGGCCAGCTTGCAGTGCTGCTTCCTAACTCTTTGCCCCACAAGGGAGGGCCTAAAAGTTGTTTTAAAGTAGCCTTTTATCATCCACAGTTCTTCTGCAATTGCTTTGAAATGACAGATCAATATATAAACAAATGTTTCTCAAGCATTGTGGTTTAAAAACTTTTCCCTTTAAGAAACATGTATTATATCTTTCAGGGAGAATCTAATTCCTAACAGAAACCACCAAAACTGCCCACACTGCTTAAAACAGGACAAGTGCCATAGGAATTTAAGATACCACAGAGAGATAGCAAATATAATCCATTGGTACAGAGTAAAACTTCATTTAATGAAAACAGCAAAGCTAATATAACTTTTACTTATGCTCCAAGCAATTTTAACAAGATCATTTTTAATTTTCCACCTCCCTCAACAGCATTACATTGTTATTCTATGAAGCACTAGAGGGAGGGTCTCACTGGCTACAAAATCTCTCATGGTTACAAAACCTGACATTTTCTTTTCCCAGTGGCTACAATTAGGAAAATTCTGAAGCATGTTTAAAACTTCACCTGTCCAATAGAATCAGTTCTCACCTGCAGGTCTCCTTCTATACTATCCATTCTATAATCCTACTTAGCGAGTAGGTGACTCATTTTATTGTTACCTTTGTCTTAATGCAGGTGTCAAGTCCCTTTTTTTAATAAACTATTAAGTCATGTCAGCACATGGAAAATGTTCAAATATGGTAGAAGGTAGATAAGAGAAAAACTAGGATACAGGGCCTAGCACAGAAAGTTTTGCAAAACAGATTAAATTTTAGGTTTTCTATCAGATGCTTACAATATAATTTTAAAGAGAGTATGGTCTCTCTAAAACCAGGTAATTGCCTGTATAATAGTTCTGACTGAAGCTTACTAATTATTAATGGATTTATGAAGCTCAAACTATTTCACAATAATTAGGGGAGTGTGTGGGAGAGGAAAGGGATCGAGCTTTTTCTTTTAGTTTTTTCCTTATAGCTAGAATGAAAATTCAATTTTCAAATTGATGTTCCACACTACAGGGCAATTACATGCCTGGCTTTTAAATAACTCCAGAAGTTGGTTTGAAATAATATAAATACAATAGCTGATGGTAGTTTAAGAATGGCTTATATGAGGGACCTCCCTAGTGGTAGAGCAGGTTAAGATGCAGCACTGCAAGCTAGCTTCAGCGGCTGTAGTACAAGTTTAATTCTCGGCCCCCAAGGTGATCCACCTGGCACAGCAGACCTCTGCTGTCTCTACCGCTGCTCCCCTCAGCAGTGTACTTCATAGATCTGCCTGTTCTGTCTCTGGTGAAACCTCTTACCACCACCCATGCACCTATGGCCTGCACCCCAGTTCTTGTATGCATAAATGAATAAATCTTTTTAAAAAAGTAATGCAGTACATATACACAATGGAGTATTGCCCAGCATCAAAAAATAAATAAACTCATGCCATTTGCAGCAACATGGAGTTGGGAAACACAGCTCTGTGAAGTAAGTCAGAGGAGAAAATAAATACTGGGTGGTGTCACTAATACATGAAATATAGAGAAATCAAACTCAGAACCACAGGAAGGCAACCTGAAAAGCTAACCCTTGAGGGGCCTCCCTGGTGGTGCACGGGGGTTAAGCCTTCTGCACTATGAAGCTTTCAACAGCCACTGCAGCAAGAGTTCATTCCCAGCCAGAGAGGTGACCCACATGGCCCGCAGATCTCTCCTGTCTCGCCTCCTATGCTCCCCTGTCTGTCTCTGGTGAATCCACTCACCACCACCACCCTCCCAAACAGCTCTGGCCTACACCATCACTCTTGAATATATAAAAATAAATCAATCTTTTAAAAAAAATTAAAAGCTAACACTTGAAAGCTGACGACAGACCTGAAGCATCCAAAAGCAGAGGGGGTGGGGAGGGGTAGGGAGAATGAAGGAAGCACAATGGACTCTGGTAAAGGACTATAAGTGGGGCTCTCCCTGGTGGTGCAGCCGGTTAAAGCACAGCACTAAGAAGCTTAAGCCACTTCTACATGAGTTCAATTCCCTCCTGCCCGGAGGAGATCCACATGGCGGAGGAGATCCACATGGCGGAAGAGATCCCACATGGCGGAGGAGATCCACATGGCGTGGCAGACCTCTCCTGACCCGCCCGCTGCTCCCCTCAGCAGTGTACTTCGTAGATCTGCCTGTTCTGCTCCCTGTTCTGTCTCTGGTGAATCCTCTCCCCCTCCGCATGTCTGGCCTGTACCCCAGTTCTATATGAATAAATAAATAAATCTTAAAAAAAAAAAAAAGGACTATAGGTGATTGATTATATTAGGAATCCTAATGGTTTTTTGTTTTGTTTTGTTTTGTTTTTTTAAATCTTAGGCTTAAATACATAGGATTCGGATTCTACAGTACCAGAAGCGGGTTGGTTGCAATTCTCACAAGTTGTTTTTTGTTTTTGTTTTTTTTTAATTAAATCACTGTCACATAAATCAATGAGAAGTCAGAAATTTCAAAGGCCAAAATCTAGAAGCACTAAATTTCACTTCCTAATTTATTTTTCCATCACCACTCCTCCCAAAATCACACTATTACTATTACAGCATAGTAGAGAAAAACCTTAAGACCATTAACACTGCAGTAGCATTTATCCACATACTAATAAAAGCTTTCTGGTGAAACACTCCTTAAATTCACTTTTAAGATGATTTTACCTGAGTAAACAAGTATGTGCTGCTATATTTTAGTGTACATTTTACAAGGATGACCTCATGAGATTTAATCTACAGAATTTAGAAGGAGACTAAATGCAGGTACGAATACAGGATCGGACCGTACTTTACGAACATATTCTGGTTCTTAAGTGCCAACTTTGGTGAGAATGTCAACAATTCTAAAAAATAAATAAGTTTCCTTTTAAGCGCCTAAAACTTATCAGGTATTGAATCAAACAAAAAAACCTCAGCTTTGAGTATAATCGTAATGCTAGCTCTGTACAAATGAACACACTTGGTAAAGCTGGGAGTGATGTTACCTAATTTGTTCCACCAGAAGGCAACAGCATACTTGCAGAGTTGTTCTGAAGCTGTTCCAAACTAAACCACATTGAAAAGGAGAGATCCTGTATGAAGTAAGCATGTTACGCTAAATGTTTCATAGTGACGCCGAAGCTTAATTTTTAACGCTACATCTCATTATAAAAGACGTATTTTTCAAGTGTTACCAATAGAGACTGGAGGGGACACAAAAATCACAAACTTCAGGAAGCCTAACTCTACAACCCTGCGCTACTGACTGGGGATGTTACGCAAAGAAAATGCTTAACAGAGCTGGTTTCTGATAATTACTCAATAACAAGTATTCATTAGCTATCTATGAAAACACTGTTTCAAACACTATACAACCAATCACACATTTCTTTTTGGGTTCGACTTCTACAGACAGTGCAAACAGCAAGCTTAAGAATAAAACACTAAACTGCCAGGCTTGAACATCAAAAAGCTACAATTGCTTTTTAAAGCTGTATTAAGAGTGTCAGAAACACAATTACACAATCTGATTAAAAAGCTGGTAAGCAGGACAGCACTGTCTTTAGCACCAAAGTCAGCTAAATCACAGACAGTTAAAGGTCAAAGGCGTCCAAGCCGGCAACGACTTGCTCCACTTACACCATCTCAGCCTGGCAAAGACAGGCGCAGCCGAAGCGCGAGCGAGGACGCACCAGGTTAGACATCGCCCTCGGGAATTTCCTCCTGCTGGAAAGCGACCTCGAATCTTCAGGTTTCTCCCCACCCCCACCCTCACCCCCGCCCCTACCCCTGGCAGCACAGCCCGCGGCCCAGAGACCTCTGCCACGCGCACCTCCCTCCGCACTCCGGCCCAGCTGGGGCGAATCGCGCGCGCGGGTCTCCAGCTAAGCCGCCTCTCCATTCCCCGCGACTCCCCGGCGCTGGGCCCATAGAGCTGCGGCCTCGGGGCCAGCGCCCCCACCCCAGCCCTCGCGTTCGCGGCCTGGACAGGATACTGAACACAGTCCTCTCCCAAGGCTCCAGCATGTAGAGCGCCGTGACCAGCAGGTACTGGTAGTAGAACCAGGACATTTGCTTCCAGGCCCGCGCCAGCGCCATCCCCGCCACGCGACTCCCGTGCAGCAGCCGAACGTCAGCCTGTCCGGTCGGCCTCGGGTTCGCTTCCTAAAGCCCCGGCCTCGAGGCCCGCCCGCCCGCCACCCCGCGCCCATTGGCCGGCCCGGCCCTGAGCGTCACCCGTGGGCACGCCCAGCACCCAGCGCGCGCGCCTGGCCGGCCGAGTGCGGGCCCCGCCCTGATGGCGCTCATTGGCCGGGACGCCACCTCGCGTCGCGCCCTTCCCTGACCCGGGCCCCCCCAGAGCCGAGCCGCGCCCACGCTGACCAAAGAACGGTACCCGCGAGAGCGCCAGACGCTCCCCGACCGGCCCCACCCGGCCGTTGGGGGCGGGGCGCTGGTGCCGGATGGGGGCGGATTGCAGGAGGAGGAGGAGGCCACCTGCGGACAGTCGACCCTCCCCTTCCATTTTCGGGCGCAGGAACCCTTGTCGAGGAAATATTTATGAAATTCCTGTAATGCCTCGGGCATCCAACTGAGCAGGAGTACCGAGGCGCGACCAAGAACGCATTAGGTTCCTTACTTGTTCACCTTACTGTCTAGCTTGGCAGAGGCATTAATCCCAAGAACGCAAGAAAAACTGCCACGGGGGCGGGGATTAGAGAGCTGGGGTATAAGTGCTAGGAGGAAGGAAGATGAACATCAGCTAGTCAAGATCAGGAAAGGAAGAAGTCTCTTAAATTCGTTCACGTTGCCTCGTTTTCTCTCCCACCCACAAACACACACCAAAATACACCCACATAGACCAACATGCCCCATGCACTCTGTAATCAAAAGACAAAAGAGATTAGCATAAATCTGCCTATGACCTGTGTCTTTTAATAGCTCCAGGTACTCTGTGGGTCAAGGCTAGCAGAAGGACGATGACCTGGTGGGTTCTGCAGAATACCAGTTGCTTGAGATTGGCCTGTAGGCTGATGATAACCCCTGGCGAAGTATCCAGATTGGCCCACTAGCAAGTGGGCCAGCAACTTTGTATTCCTGAAAGGGACATTGTATTCCTGAAGGGGGAATACAATGTATGGTGTATGAGATGATACCATAAAATGGACTGTGGCTCTAATGTTTTAAGAGTTTCTAGGTTAAATAGCCTACTGCTTACATTTCTTTAATTTCGTGGTTGATAACTTTTTATCCACTTAGAAATACCAAGTGCTGTTCTTGAGCTAACCATTGAGGACAGAAAACCAGAGAGAATGAGATCTACCTTCATAAAGTACCAGCCTACTAGGAAAGAGGGGCAACTGCCATATGGTAAGGGGTATTATGATATGTTTTATGATAGCCCATAGGAAATCATGGAAGACTTCTAATTGTGCTTTAGGGGCCTCCCTGGTGGCACAAGGGGTTAAGTTTCAATACTATCAAGCTATTGTCAGCCACTGCAGCACAAGTTCTATCCCTGGCCAGGGAGCTGACCCGCATAGCACAGCAGACCTCTCCTGTCTTGCCCGCTGCTCCCCTCAGCAGTGTACTTCATCAATCTGCCTGTCTGCTCCCCTCTCTATCTCTCATGAATCTGCTCACTGTCCCAGCACCTCTGGCCTATACCCCAGCTCTTTTATGCATAAATAAATAAATCTTTAAAAGAAAAGATGTAAATTCACTTTGGACAGGCTGAGTCTGAAGTAGCTGAGTGGCATTTAAGGGGCAGTTGAGTAGATGGATCTTAAACTCAGAAGAGAAGGCTAAGCAGGAGCTAGAGGCATTAAATTTTCAATAAGCTTCTGGTAATTGAGGCCATAATTGTGGATGATGTCACCAGGGAAAGCTCACACACTGGGAAGAACAGAATATACCCAGGAACTCTGGTATTTAGGGAGGAAGAGTTCAAAGGCTGTCACTAAAGGGCACACCGAAGGAGCCAATTACAATTTAATAGCAAAGAAAGGCTTTCGGGAGATCTCAAGCAAGGGAGGAAGGGAAGAGGCAATTCATGTGACCCAGGAAGGCCAAGCAAGATGAGGAAGGCAAGTGACAATCTGTTGTGTCTACACAGGGCTCAACTGATGACTCACCACTTATTTGTGGGTTGACAAGGGCAGAAACCAAAATCAAGAGGGAATAGGAAGTAAGAGCAGAGTCAATTCAGACTTATCTTCAAAGGATGACTGTCTAAAAGAGAGGATGGCAGCAAGGATTTGTTTGGTTTGATTTTCAGATGGGGAAGATGTGAGAAGGCTTACAGGCTTAACATAAAGATGTGACTGAAGATGAGATGTGCAGCATCAGATCCAAGCCTAACTAGCAGCCTGCAGACCTTTTCCTAAGAAGGGGAGGATAGGAATATAGGAGTCAAATGGACAAAAACACAGATGAGTAAGTTAAGAAACTCCCTACTTTACCACCTTGTTTTTGGTGAAAAAAGTATGATCTGTTGAGAGTGAGCAAGATGTTCAGGTGTAGAAAATGGAAAAGAGAAGGGAGGGGCAATGGGAGAAGCTCCCTGAAACTATTTAGGGATTGTCAGGTAAAAGAACTGATTCACCAGCAGTGTCCAAGGAATCATGATAAACTGTGAGGCTGCTCCAGCATGAAGTCTTGCTGGCTGAGTACAGGGAGAAACTAGGAAGCAAGAGGTTGGTAGAGAGAGAACTGAAAGAATGTCTATGTAAATTGGATCAGAGAAAAAAGTAAATGCAGAAAAGAGACTACTGGAGTAGATGAGTGGAGAGTTTCTATCCTAGAAGAGGACAACTATGTCTGTGCTTCTGAAGTTTGAAATTAGACAGGCACAGGTTGTGACCATGGCATGAACCATGGTGGGGCTGATGTTTAGGATGATGTTAGAACCAAGGGTTGAAAGGAAAAGTCTTCAGACCAGATGTTAAATTCTTCAGTGAGTATGGAGAAAAACTCAGGAGACAAGTGGAAAGGACAGTGCTTTTGGTTGAGACTGTAATGAGGAGCAAGAAGGTCAACCCACCCCATCTGCCTCCCACCACCAGTTCCATTGTGAGAGGAGACAGGGAAGGCACAGAGGGAGAAAAGATGTCATGTTCAAGAAGCCGACTATAGAGAGATTCTGTCTATAAAGAGAAAGATGGCATAATATAAGGCTCACGGTGGGAGCTGAGTGCTGATCTGTATCTGGAAGAAACACCAGAGCACAGGGGAAGGTAAGACATTGGTACTGTCAACGTTATATTCAGGACCATATTTAAATGAAGTTGGGATGCCAAGGGATACTGGGCACTTCTGGGCCAGCAATCTACACAGCTGTAAGCCCTGTATTTCCCACTTTTGACTTTTTCCGTAGAAGTACGAGGTTTGTATAGCCCCTTGTCTCGCAGGTGAGAGGTCCAAGAGAGAAGCCAGAAGTGCACAAGACTGTTACCATAATTCATCCTGTCTGCCCATTTCTGCTGCAGTTTTGTTTTCAAATAAAATCCTATCGATGGCTTTGCTAGTTGATTGCCTTTTGAGGTCGACAGTATATTAAAGATGGAGTGCTTGGAACAGACTGGCTTACAGGAGCATCAGAATAGTCACCAACAGACCTCCCACAGAATCAGGGCCAAGGGGCAACCCCTGATTGTAGTCTAGTCAGCAAGCCAGGATGTTTGTTCATTCTCACACTGTCTTTCTAGTACATGTTAACAAGAACTGATTTTGTGCCTCAGTAAAGCTCAGCCCTGGGGCACACAGGTATTGGAAGCAGCCATCCAAGCAGACTACCTGACCTGAGGTCCATGTTGGGAGGGGTGGGGGATGAGAGTCAACTAGAGGAAAAAAAACAAGTACACCCCTAAAAAGTAAGAGTCCTGAGCAAAAGCTAATGGCACACTTAGGTCTAAGTTGGGTATTAGAAAAAAAAGTTCACTGCAACATCCTTAAAAGATGTTGCACACATACATGTACAACCACATAGCTGCATTCATAAATAAGTGCCTGGTTTAGTATACTAAAAATAACAACTCAACCAGAACTTATTAATGATCCAGTTACTACATATTTTTAGATTTGTATGAAATTTCACAGTTCTTAATGGAGTGTGACAAATGAACATTTATATAGGAAGTTTTTGTATTGACTCTTAGACTCAAGAGTTAACTTCCCTTTAGACTTTACCACCCTTTGTCATAACTCCCGAAGAATTTCCTCTCCCCCTTACTTCCCTGCACCCTCCAAATATTTTCAACTAATCCCACTTTTCCCTTCAAATCTCTTTTAGAGTAAGAAGATGAAACATTATCAGTTATCTTAACATCCTCGAAAGCACTTACAGTTGTGATGATACTCACAGCCACTGTTCCCTCTTTTCTAGTACCTTAACACCTAGTCTCAACCACTCCTTCCAATTACAGTCTTAGTGCTGCCTTTACTAAACTTTGACTAAAGTTATTTAGTCAAAATTACCAGATTTACTGGAATTTAATTCCTTCTCTTATTCAACCTGTGTCATTCAATACTGCTGAACATTTCTAACTGAAAATGGATTGTCTTGGTTTCTACCACAGAGCTCCTACCCTGCTCCATCCAACCTTTTCTCTGCATTCTCACTGTTCCTTTGATAAACCATTTCTTCCCCATCCCCTAAAGACTGGCTAACCTCCACCTCCCTCTACATCCTCAGTGGTCTCATCCCTCCCTTTGGGATTCAGATGTCACTTTGGGTCGTTATTATTACTGTAGGAAGAATATATCTAAATATGATTAAAATAATAAAAGTTATCATGAACATAATTGTCTAGTCCTTCCCTTGTCTCACCTTTCAAAAGGTTCTCATAACCATTATCTCATTTCTTCAGAGAAAAAAAAACAAGTACACCCCTATTTAATAATTATGGACACTGAAGTTCAGAGACATATTCAAGTCCAAACTAATCTTGTACCACAAAACCACTTTTCTTTCTGCTTGCCTCATCTCTGTTAATGACAATACCAATTTTAATTCCTTTGCCACCTCCCTCCTCCTTAATTTGGTACCTAGTGATAGCAAGTCATTCTTCAAAGTATCTCCTTTTGCCTTGTTAGGATCTGATCTGCCATGCCCACACACATACAGCTTCACTCTAATCAAGATAATGAACTGGCTATTGTCACACAAATTTGCCTTACCTACTACCACTGACTATTCCTGCTCATTAATCAAGCACTTTGAGCTCCAAGAAAACTTTCATTCTAAAAATACTTTTAGAGTCTACCGCCATACCACCCTGAACATGCCCAATCTCGTCTAAAAATACTTTAGCCTATGAGAAAACAACAGGTTTCAAACTATCCCATGTTGTTTGCCTCATAAAAGTTTTCACTCGAATCATCATCAGTTAACATGATCCAACAGTTCATCAGTTTATTACATTTACTACCCTCTGTTGTGTCCACAACATGCCAGTGCTGAGTACAATGTGACATAACCTCTGTGTGTGACATAACCTCTACCCTCAGAATGTACACTTTAATAGG